CTTGTCTTTGATGGCGAGACAGGGTTGGACATAGAGAGGTCAGCAAACGGAGTACTGTCTTCCGTTGAAAAATGGGGAATTAACAACAAACTGAAGTTTGCACCCCACAAGACTTAAGCCATGCTCATCACTAATAAACAAAAATTCGACGCACCAAAACTCAACATGGTAGGTACAATAATAATTATAGAATTGAGCGATGAAATCAAAAGTTTAGGCCTGACCATAGACAGAAAGTTAACGTTCAACAACCATGTAAAGATAGTAACAACAAAACTGTACAGATTTACGAGCAGGCTGCCAGGGCGGCGAGAGTTAGCTGGGGGCTGCACCCCGATGTAATCCGTGTGATTTACACCGCGGTGATGGAGCCCATTATCTTGTACGCAGCTAGTGCCTGGGCACCAGCTTTATTCTTCTAACACATTTAAATTGTATAGAATGAGTGAGCCTTCTCTCTCGCACTTTATGTAAGACGCATCATTTGAAGCGGCTGTATGAGTCAGTCTGAAAGTCGAGCCCGGAGTGGCGCACGGGTTTTGTGTGATTTCTGTGTTTTTATTAGTTTTTTGTGTTTCTTTTGTAGAAATTATGAAATTAGAAGTAATATTTGATTATATTTACTAACAAGAATAAATATTCATATACATTTTAAGACAAAAACCACCTTTGAAGCAATGGCCACGTCATTTTTTTAAATTAGCGGTGGTCTTTAGTTGGACATTTTTAATAGAAAAATTAATAAAATCCGATTTTTTGTAAGGAGATCAATATTTTAATGAACTTAAATCTAACTATTACAAAAGACGTGTATGTGAAAAAATCCACTTCAAAGCCAAGAGGAGAATACCACCCTTATTTGACGTAAAAAATGACTCTCAATTCGATTCTCGTTTACTACTCAAGTAGAAATAAGCCCCTAACCGCGAGTAAACTCCAGAGTGCAGCGTTAACCCTCGGACAGTGGTTCAGAAAATGGCGCATAGACATCAACCCAGCGAAAAGCACACCAGTGTTATTTCAAAGGGGAAACTCAGCGCTTATTTCCTCCCGCATTACGAGGAGAAATACCATACCCCCGATCACCCTCTTCGTTCAACCTATACCCTGGGCCAGGAAGGTCAAGTACCTGGTAGTCACCCTGGATACATCCATGTCATTTCGCCCGCATATAAAAACAGTCCGCGACCGTGCCGCATTTATTCTCGGCAGACTCTATCCCATGATCTGTAAGCGGAGTAAAATGTCCCTTCGAACCAGGTGACACTTTAAAAAACTTGCATAAGGCCCGTCATGACTTACGCGAGTGTGGTGTTCGCTCACGCGGCCCGCACACACATAGACACCCTCCAATCCCTACAATCCCGCTTTTGCAGGTTAGCCGTCGGGGCTCCGTGGTTCGTGAGGAACGTCGACCTACACGACGACCTGGGCCTTGAACCGATCCGTAAACACATGAAGTCAGTGTCGGAACGCTACTTCGATAATGCTATGCGTCACGATAATCGCCTTATCGTTGCTGCAGCTCACTACTTCCCGAATTCTGATCACGCAGGAGCAAGTCACAGTCGTCGCCCTAGACATGTTCTTACGGATCCATCCGATCCAATAAGTCTTGCATTAGATACCTTCAGCTCTAACACTAGGAACACTAGGCTGAGGAACCGCGGTAACCGTACTCGTCGAACTCGACAAAGAGGTCGACGTGCAACCTAACCCATGCATCAGCCCGCTGAGTTTCTCGCCGGATCTTCTGAGTGGGTCGCGATTTCGATCCGGTAGTAGATTCATTCGCGAAGCAATTGCTCTTGAGTTGTTAGGTCTTTTTCGGAGGCGCTGGGGCAGTTGTTAGCAAATCCCACCCCTCCTGGCTGAGCCTTTGCTCCCTCACCTGTCCTGGTGAAACTGGAAAGGCTTCCGGGCCACCAGTAATCATTCAATCATAAAAAAAAAGACTCAATTAATGTATTTGTTACATTATAATTATCCAGTCTGAGAATAGATGGCGCCAACAACATCATTTGCATTAATATTTATCCAAAGTATTAATTTTAATTGTTTTTTTTTGCACATGATTTATTTTTAAAATTAGGCTTATTAATACTTACTAATATACCTATGCCTTTGTACATAATTTTCCTATTACTCTGTACTATGTCTTTTTTTCTGTGTGTACATAAATAAATAAATAAATAATATACAGTAATATTCGAGTACTTTGGCTTTTTAATAATAATAATAATAATGTTTTTATTGCAAGTAACCATGACTCATATAAATTGTTAATAAGACTTAGACCTATGTTAGTAGTTATATTTATATCACAATGAATTACTGTTGTAACATCCCACGGGAGATGGCACCACAGCGACAATATTTGATATTGAGTTTTTGTGTTTGTTGTATTTAGTGTTGTTGTCGAGTGAATGTCAGTCTTGTAGTAGGGGAGCCTAAGCGGGGATTTCGGGATTTACTAAAGCGCGGCAGATTAATATACAGGGGGATACCTTGTACCCGGTTAAGTACCTCCACCAAATACGAACCTCATAAATAAGGCCGCGCGTCCAGGATAAAGGATCAGATTAGTAAAAAAAAAATATCATCAGAAATTCTCGACCGCGTCAGATTACGGTAGGTTGAGTTAATTACATGCTAAAAATGTTTAGTTCACTTATCTGACAATTTGAGAGTGACGTAAAGAAAGGGGAGGGCTACGAAGTTGTAAAAAAAAACGTCATCTAGACATTCTCGAGCGTGACTCAATTTTTATTTTATTTTGAAGGAAATAATTCAAGGATAACGAAAAATATATAATCTGACGATTTCCACAAGCCGAATCAACAAAAATTCGTCGATAAAGTTGAGTGCGTGCAGCTGCGTCGTGCCTATATTCCCCTCTCCGCGTTTTTTTAGGCATGTTTTTTTTTTATTATTATTATCTTGCAAATACAAGGATTTTACTTCAAAATCATTTTTATTGCATGCTATTTCCTGAGCCTTTCAATTAATTAAGATAAATTATTTAAAAATTTTTTTTTTTTTGTCACATTAGGCGAATCCCTCTAGAAGATCGTCAGATTATGAGGCAGCACGTCTAGGACATAAAGATGAATTATATATCTTAATCAGACGCGCTTGACTATTTCAAAATGACGATTTTTTTTTTCATAATAATAATATAATGGCCGTGAGTTTGCGTCACATCGAAATCGTCAGATTATTGCATGAGAGCTTTATTTAAGGTTCACATAAGACCCCCTAAGAAAATCTGACGCGCTAGATTTTTTTTTCTTTTTCAATCTTACCTACGACCACCCCCATCATACAAACGATCAGATTAACATACATATGTTATTAGAAATACGCAGGACATTGATGCTATCAATATCTGACGCGCTCCAGTATGTCCACGCAACAGCTTTTTTACAAATTTGAAAATCTATAGCCGCTTCCTCCACCGGTGAAAACGTATACATTATATAACATTTTTTTCTTCTTATCATCTAAGCTTTGCAACCCTAGTAGGTCTCTACGACGCTCGAGTAAATCCCCATTTAGCATCGTGGGCTCCCCTACTACTGTCTGTGAGAACATCGCGGCGGCTGGTGTTTATCTTTTTGTTAAACCCGATAAAGCCATTGGATAAGAATTATCGTTTGTTTTATTTGTAAGCTGGTTGTTTATTTGCTCTCACTCGGACACTTATGATATTATAATGGTTGGGGAAAAAATTTCTTCGCATTTTTTAAGAAAATTCACAACATTTTATAATATAGTTTATTTACATTTAACTAAAGTATGTAGGTACAATTTTGTTCGATAACTTTTTGCCATCTTGTAGGTACGGACATGATCCCATTGCTATAGACATTTTGGGGCTTTCGATCAAAATACCGCGACAATTGGTTTTGGCAGTCCTCTCGTGATGTTAACCTGACACTGCCTAAAGAATTCTGGAGAGACCGGAACAGGTGGAAATCTGAAGGTGCAAGGTCAGGACTATACGGCGGATGCATTAAACCTCCCAGCCAAGCTCTCTCAATTTTTGCTGACTGGCTAAAGATGTGTGAGGGCTAGCGTTATCATGATGAAAAACCCCTTCTGTTGATGAATTCCGGCCGCTTTCTCCCAACTTCTTGCTTTAATCTCATCAGTTGTTCGCAGTAGAGCTGAGAATCGATGGTCCTGCCTGCTGGTAACAGCCCATAATGAATAATGCTCTTCCAACCCCACCGTGTGTGTGATCACATCTCGCATCACCTTTTTGCGAGTTAGCCCGAGTTTCGCCACAGTCTGTGAAGCCTGACTGGTCTTTGACCACGACCTCTTTCGCACGTTGTTGTGGTACGTGATCCACTTTTCATCACCAGTTATCAGCTTCTTCAAAAATGGTTCGGTTTCATTACGTCGTAATAAAGAATCACAAATGAGTACACGGTTCATTAGGTTTCTTCCAGTGAGCTCGGGAGGTACCCAAATATCGAGCAAAAGCTCGAAAAAACTGGGTACACAATTTTTTGTTTAGTTCTTTTCAAATGCGCCAAAACTATTTTGTGGTCAATTCCCAATTCTTAAGCTACGTCATAACTACTGATATGCCGATCTTGCTCCAGTTTTAAAAAAATAGCATCAATTTTATTCATAATAGGGCGACCAGAGCGACGTGCATCTTTGACATCAAAATTTCCGGATTGTAAACGCTTAAAGCGTGCTACTCTCACAGACACTGCACTAGGTCCAATAATATTGCAAATTTTTTTCTCGTCTTGCGTTGCACCTTTTTTGTAGTAAAATTTTAAAATGTATCGAATTTCTTCATTAGATTCACTCATCTTGACAGTACGAAAAATAAATAAAAATCACACATTTTCTTAATTTGAATTTGAAATTATCTTCTTTATAATTTTAACTTTTAATGATACCGAAACCAGTCAAATACAAATAGTATAGCCAAAGAGATTTTATTACAAGTTCATACATACTATAATGCGAGAAGACTTTTTCCCCAACCTGTTATTAATCTTGCGTATAACTCTCATCTGGTCTGCAAGTTGCGATTTAATAGTATTAAAACTACTCGTTAGAACATAACATTTATTAAAGTACAAACAATAGGATATTTGAGCCACATCCCGTTAAGAAGCGAGGGACGACTAGCCCCAGCACCAGCAGCTCGACTAGTACTCTCCTTACATCTAAGTACACTACAGTAATACTGGCTAGATTACACACTCATACGTATCACATAACATCATTTATTGAAATCGAAATCGGCTTTGGTGTAGGTATGTACTATTTACATTACTACATTGTCATATTATTATAATATGTTACAAGCCATATAATATTGTAGTCAGCTGCCTCCTGGCAGCGGTGACTGGCGCGCCGACGCCGGTCGGACGACGGCCAGTCGAGTGCTCACTGCTGTTCACGACGCGGAGCGTACGGCGGAATAGTACGTGGGTAGCTTCGGTCAACCTCGGCTTTTACGCGAGTGACGATTTACTACAATAGCTCCGTGACCCTACACCGCAACCCATCCATACGCGACGCTTGCGAGCGGCATCACGTCAGGATATGTCATCAAACTACTTCTGCAAAATCGTACAAGAATCAGCCTTACAATGCTTTTGGACTTTTGGGTGAAGTGCCCGTGCCCCGGGGACCCGTGGTATGTGGTCTTCACTAGCAACATGCTCTCTTCGACCAAATGTGTCCGAGCCTCGCCCGCGGTATAACCCAGGAGCAGTAGGATGAGCGATTGCGCAATATTGCAACCAGAAACAAGGTTACTTAGGATCAAAATCTTAACTAAGTAACTGCCTTCACTATACGCAAATATAGGTATACATCTAACTCTAATCAGCATTATTTTATGACCGTTAAATAAAACGAAACTTGGCACATTAAGCACTCTCTTCATAGCGTGGAACGGTATTGGCACATCATGTGGTTCAGTACAATGAGGCGCTCCAACGAGCAGTCAAACCCCGTCACGAACTCTGCGGGCGTGCCGCTACGTGTCCGTCTCGGCTTCGGGCGAGCACGGCTTGGTGTCCTGCCCCCCGTGGAGAGGGGAGCTCTCCGCCTTATTAACGGAGACATCCTCGAGCGGGGTGGGGAGGAGGCGCGGGGGCGGCAGGGCTAGCTTTAGTTTGTGCCAGAACCAGGGGTCGGTCCAGAGCAGGNGCAGTCAAATCCCGTCACGAACTCTGCGGGCGTGCCGCTACGTGTCCGTCTCGGCTTCGGGCGAGCACGGCTTGGTGTCCTGCCCCCCGTGGAGAGGGGAGCTCTCCGCCTTATTAACGGAGACATCCTCGAGCGGGGTGGGGAGGAGGCGCGGGGGCGGCAGGGCTAGCTTTAGTTTGTGCCAGAACCAGGGGTCGGTCCAGAGCAGGTAGGTGTTGATCCTAATGTAGGAGCGCAGCTCGGCGTCGAGAGGCAAGCGGTGCGGCGGCTCGAGGAACAGCAGCACGAGGCGCGGTATGATGTCACGCAGCGCGGCCGCGTGTGCCTGACGGAACTCTTGGCGCGCCCACTTGGAGCGCAGAAAGTGCCGGGAGACTACGATGAGGGTGCGGCGCGACGCTTGCACCGAGGCCGCGATCTGCACGTGGATCCACTCGCCCGGCGGCCAGTCGCGGTAGTGCAGGCACAGCCGGTACCCGTGCCCCACTTCGAGCCGCTTCACGAGCTCTTCCACCACCACCTCGTCCTCGTGCGCGTACGACACGAATGCATCGAACCGACGCCCGTCGTCCGGCTCCGGCCGCCGTGGCAACCAGCCCAGTCGCAGCAGCAGCACCTTGATTCTAAGCCGCATCTCGGGTCGCATCACGCAGCCGGCTGTAACTGCGACCATCACTGCCAACAAAGCCAGCGCGCTGATCAATGACGTGGCGACGACCAATGCTGAACTACATTCGCTGGGATCCCCATTCTGTGCTTCTTTAAGAGAAGTCCCGTCGTCGCACGTTGCTTGCTCCATGTCGCGCACATGAGGTCCTAGCTTCGTCACCAAGTCGTACCCGTAACATGTGCAGTCCAGCGAATTGTTGGCGATCCACAGAGGGACAGTTGATAACTTCGAAGCAGTCGGGCCGTCCAATCTATGCAGAGAGTTGTTTCTCAGGTCCAACTCCTGTCAAAAGGAAATACTGATTTATCAGAGTTCATCGTTACATGTACTTGAAGCCGCAGCTTTCATTACTCCGAAATCGGATCCCGTTAAATTAACATTTGGAGTCGACCAGTACTCACCAATATCGTGTCGGGCAGATCCTGAAGCCGAACGGTCTGGATGTGGTTGTGGGCGAGCATTAAGCGCCACACGGGAGCCTCTTTGAACTTCAGACGCGATGGCATTTCGTCCAGACCCGCGCCCTCACATGACGCGGTCGCCACCACACCAAGCGAGAGGTCAAGGCGTACGGAGCAAGTGCAGCCCTCCTGGTCCTCACACAGGCTCGATTCCGCACACTCCAGAGATTCCCGTTCCAACGCATCCGCTAGTGAACCACGCTCCTCCTCCCTACACAGGAGCTCTACGGAATCTTGTGCTTGAGTGCTGAGGTCCCCGAACGCCAGTGCCGTCCAGTAGTCCGAGCAGTCGCACGGTAAAGTTGCTCTCAATATTATCTTGACCTGAACATAACAATAAAATGATTGCAAGTGAATGATTGCCCGGCGCCAACTTCCTATACTGATGTGCACAAAACCAAGCGTGGGACTGACCGATGCAGATGCCAGGTCGGCGATCACAGACTTGTAGTTCCCCGCGTCGACGGTGAGCTCGCTGACGGGCGTGCCGTTGAAGTTCACGGTCAGCTCTTTGGATCCAGAGTGCTCGTAGTGGAAATCCAGGTACTGTAACAATTGAATAGTGTACTGTTACAGTGGAGAACCGAGCGAGCGACCTTCAGCCGTAGTACCAGGATGGACACTCACCGACAGGGAGGTGATGTTTGTGTAGGAGAGATCGAGAAGACGGAGTTGCTTCATGGAGGTTCGCCAGTCGCTGCACACGTGAGACACACCCGTGTGACCCAGTCTGAGCTCTTCCAACTCCGTCAGCGCTTTTAGCGGGGAAGTGCCTGCGAGGGAGGAGACTAAGCGTCAGAGCTCTATTAGAAGCTGAGTGTAGTCGTGAATTAAAGGAGATAAAAAAAGACGGTAAATACACTCACCAGAGACGATGAACGCATCAGAACCACCGGAGCAGAGATCAAGTAGAGGCGGGTTGTGGGAAAGATTGAGATCCTGTAGGGAGACTAGCGAGCCCAGAGTCCCCACAGCCGCCGCCTGCAGCTTGTTGTTGGATAGATTGAGTTCTTTCAGGTTCCGTAAGTTCGAAAATAAGCCACTGTAATTGGATTTTGATTATCTATACTAATATTATAAAGAGGAAAGATTTGTTTGTTTGTTTGTATTGAATAGGCTCCGAAACTACTGAACCGATTTGAAAAATTCTTTCACTGTTTGGAAGCTACACTATTCCCGAGTGACATAGGCTATAATATTTTTTGAAAAAAATTAGGGTTAAATTAATAAATTAAAACTCCTATAATGTAACCCAAGGTGTAAAAAAATTACCTAAAATATTCTTTACATCGGGTGCCCTGCGAAAACTATTGATGATAGAATAAAATAATGTACTACGACTTTGTAGAACCCATTATTATCTACAAAAAGTGTCGTGACAGCATATGTCTAACTATTATAGTTATGCCGCAATAAGTGTTCTTTTGAAAATTTTGTTAAAGACCTGAACGGAGCCGGAACGCTAGTTTACAATAATTGGATAAACAAGTTTGCAAGTACCAATATCGTCGGCACGTCGAGTTTTAATCCAATAGATTTTTTACAAAAAATAAATACATAATATAAAACTATTGATTATTGAATATTGATTGAAAATTTTGTTTCATTAAAATGATTCTAACATTGAAATGTAATTTCTTGTTATAAATAATGTACCTTGGTAATGTTTGTAGTTTGTTGTGGGATAAATCAATGATCCGCAGATTTCTATTCTCCTTAAAGAGATCAACAGGTAATGTGTCAATCTGGCAGGAAGTGAGACCTAGATCTTCGAGATTTTCTGCGCCGTCCAGCAGACCGGGAGTCACAGACTTCTGACGAGCGAAGCTCATTCGAAACTCGCGCAACTTTTTACAGTGCGATAACCATCTACGGGGGGGAGCCGGCTCCTCGCCGACCCAGCCTCGCAGCTGCAGCAGCTCCACGTCGTCACACCGCGCGGAGAGGTCCGTCTCGTTCCAGTTCACGAGCACGAGACGTCGAATCGAGCGCGGCCTGGACGCCGCCGGAAACGACACCCTCCTCGCGTCTAGCACCACGCTCTCCAACGAGCCAGCCGTCAACGCGCTCACCGTCACTGATTCCTTTTCGTGCACCACGAGGGCTCGCAGCTGATCGAGACCGCTTAGATCTAATCGCGTCTCACCGACAAACCAAAGCTGGAGCGAATGCAACGTTGGCGGAAATTGTAGGGACGCCATCTGCACGCGGTTGAGCTGCAGCATACGCAAGTTGACGAGAGGCAGCAAAGCACCAGCCTCGACCCTGAGAGGCATGCCTCTGGTCCCTTCGAGGTCAAGTCGCAAGAGGTGCTCGAGGCCCCGCAGGTGCAGCGCGGAGAGCGAGCCGGGCGGCGTGTCCTTGAGGGACAGGCGCTCGAGGACGGAGATGTTGAGGGCTCCGAGAGCGTCCGCCAGCGAGTCGGCTCCGATGCTGCACCTTCGAAGCGTCACGTTGAGGACGCGCGCGCCGCCGTCGAACGACGGCATCCCCGCACCGCCCAGCGCCACGCCCTCGGGACACTCCAGCTCCACATACTGAGCCTCCGAGAAGTTTATCACTAGGTTCTGACCTGAAAAGAATATATACGAAAAGGATTAGCACAAAAGGGTATACATACATAGCGCATCATAATTTACCACTAAACTTAATGGTAAACCAGGCCTGCCCGTGAGCGTCGGTGGCATCACAAATATGTTTAGGGAACACTTTGCGGTTAGTTCGCCATTGAGACCATCACAGTCAGGGTTTGTGGATGATTCTCAGGGGCGGATAGTTACTGCTAGGTTTACGGCTAACGAAGTTAGAAAAGTTATTAACTCCATGTCACGGGGTAAGTCTCCGGGTCATGACGAGCTGAGCATAGAACACCTTTTTTTTTTATTGCCTTTGTAGGCAGACGAGCATACGGCCCACCTGATGGTGAGTGGTTACCGTCGCCCATGGACTTCAGCAATGCCAGGGGCAGAGCCAAGCCGCTGCCTACCGTACCTAAAGTATGCCGGTGTACACTTGCCTCGAGTCTTGGTTATGTTCTACAATTTATGTATGGGACACTTCTACTTGCCTGAGGAGATGTTGAAGACTGTGGTGATGCCAATTGTGAAGAATAGGACCGGGGATATATGTGATAAAATCAATTACAGACCTATCTCGCTGGCAACTATCATAGCGCAAGTGCTTGACAGTTTGCTTAACATACAAATTGATAAATATCTTCAGATACATGATAACCAGTTTGGTTTTAAATCAGGAATGTCTACAGAAATAGCCGTATTGTGTTTGAAGCAAACTGTCAAGTACTATACTGATCGAAAAACTCCAAATTTTGCCTGTTTCCTCGATTTATCAAAGGCATTCGACCTGGTTTGTTATGACATCTTATGGCAAAAACTGAATAATAAATACTAAAATGCCGAATGAACTAGTACAGATATTCAAATATTGGTACGCCAACCAGTTGAACGTGGTACGATGGTCGGGTGTCTGTTCGAGGCCATACGGGATGTACATATTGATGAAATATGTCTCAACAATATGAGTTATGCTGATGACATGGTGCTGGTGAGTGTATCGGTCTGTGGGCTGTCTAAGCTGCTTGGCATATGTGAAAGGTATGCTCTAAGTCACGGTCTGGTGTATAATACAAAGAAGAGTGAGTGTATGGTGTTTCAGGCCAGAGGCAGGTGTCTGGATAACATTCCCTCCGTCAAACTGAATGGTACGCCACTGCGCAGAGTAGACAAGTTTAAATACCTAGGACACTTTGTAACCTCTGACCTGAGGGATGATGCAGACATTGAGCGGGAGCGGAGAGCGCTGTCTGTAAGAGCTAATATGATCGCCCGCAGGTTCGCTCGATGTTCGCGGGATGTCAAAATTATTCTATTTAGAGCGTTTTGTACGTCCTTCTATACGTGCAGCCTGTGGGTGTTCTATAGTCAAAAGCAGTACAGCGCCTTACGCGTCCAATACAACAATGCGTTCAGGGTGTTGTTGGGGCTGCCTCGGTTCTGTAGCGCGTCGGGAATGTTCGCCGAGGCACGAGTCGACTGTTTCTTTACGACCATGCAGAAAAGGTGCACATCCCTGATTCGCCGGGTCCGGGTCAGCCCTAACAGCATCCTGAAGGCATTAACAGACCGTTATGACTGTCGGTACTTGAACCATTGTACCGTGGTTCACTGGCGGACTAAATAATAATAATAATAATAATGGTTGGTTCGAAGTAAGTATCAGTTGAATGGAATATTTGAAATGTATTCAACTGATAATTATTTTTAATAAATGTATCTTTTTTATTTGATTGGTTTTGTTAATTTTAAGTATGTTTCAATGATACTATGTACACATATGGACTTGATGTTGTCTGAAATAAAATAAATCATTAATTCATTCATAATCCTAATTTATATAATTGTAGTAGATAATCATAGACATATCTTTCTAATGCACATCTATAGTTAGTACTTTTATTTATTTGATTAGTTCTACCAGCAAAGTGATCATCAATTAAAAAAATCTACAAATTGAACTTCACATCAATAAATTATAGGAGCCTAGATGTGTCCTTCACTGTCGAAGTCGCCTCAAAGTGTTGGCGCCAGCGACGACAGACCAGCTTTTGAAAGAGTACGGCTGCGGCTGCGCTTTTCGTGAAGGTTCGCTTTGATACTTATATTTTTATTATTTTTTCTATACTAATAATATTATAAAGCTGAAGAGTTTGTTTGTTTGAACGCGCTAATCTCAGGAACTACTGGTCCGATTAGAGAAATTCTTTCAGTGTTAGATAGCCCATTTATTGGAAGGCTATATAGGCTATAACATCACGCTAAGATAAGAGCGCCAATAAAGAATATTTCAAATTCGGGGTTTTTTCCCCTTTCCAGAGCTTCCGCTGCTTGTACTGCGGAAACGGTTAAAGTTTCGTTAAAATAATGTATGACAGAATTGTTCCCCTTTAAAAGATCTAAAAAAAGTCCGCGACAGCATATGTCTATATGTTAAGGTTGGCTGACTATAACGTTTTTTATGCTAACCAAATTTGTTCTAAAATAAAGCATTATTTGTGAAGGTGTTTTTATGAAGATGATATTAATCCCTATCCAAAAAAATACATTATTCATTACAATTATTTAATTTTAAAGAAATTAACCCACATTTGATTTTAATGAGTATCTCGCTATGAGTATTTTAATGAGTATGAGAAGATATCGCGTATACCTTAAATAGCTCCTTAATATTCTATTATTCAAAAATATTTTCACTTTCCATGTACATGAAGTCGCGGGTAAAATTTAGCTTTAAAGTAACTATCCCACGCGGACGAAGCCGCGGGCAAAAGCTAGTGTAGAATAAAATGGAAAGGAGAGAAAGAGATTTGCAAGACTTCTGTCATGATGAGGCAGCTTATAACGTCTCGGCCATCTCCCTAGCCGCATCCTAAGGTCTCCGAACATTGCTCAGTAAAGGAAGTCGTACCATGTGAATAGCTTTCAGAAAAGTGTTTTGATGTGAAGTGAAATGTTGCCATGAAAGCCAACATGCAGTCATGTTGCTAGCCTTGTGCACTCACATTCACACACACACACACACAACCTCAATCAAACACACAGACCATTGTGTAGGTATCTCAACACATAAATCGGTAATTGGTTTATTTTGGGGATATCGAAATTAGTAGTAACTGGTAACTGCCTAAATCTTTACAAACTATTATGTAGCTGTATATTTTGATATAAACACGGCTGGTGCCCCTCCAGCACACCCTGAGATGCTAACGCTGAGATGTTTTGTTGTCGAACTTGCCTCCGGAGGCCATGGCCCATGCTTACAGCGAATGACGTGTGTATGTATGTAGTTCGGCTAACTCTTCATACAACCAACGCTTCTTACGAAATTAAATATGTCTGGCAAATTTATGACAACTCTTATATGTCCCCGCTGTATTCACGTGAAGCAATCACCGATATGAGCGATATGACTAGAACCAAACAGCGTCACTTCAATATATTGTACCAAAGTTAATGTGTTAGGTATACGAATAGTGACGTGCGACCACTCAATTCGAACTAAAATATGAGTCGACTATTATCGAAGCCGGCAATCTGACTTTTAGACAATGATTGGTAAGTCAGAAAAACGAATTATTGACTTGGTATTCCATTGGCAGTCACAAAACTCTTCGGAACGACATCTTAGATAAATAACAGGTTAACTATTAACCTTTATTGAATGCAGGTTTTGAACCGTATTCTTTGAAGGAGACGATTATATTCAAATCAATCTGTATTGACATATCAATAATTTTTTTTTGTCCAAATGCACAGTATGCCACGTTTGATAATAGACTACTCATATAAACTATTCAGGGCTCTTAATTACATGACCACTGTGACCAGCCAGAAGTACTAGTGCTAGGCTCGGATCTAATGTATAACGTTTATTTACGTAATTTTGAGCCAATCATGTTTCATTGAATGTACCGTTAGTACCGGAGAGCTCGCTGATACTGATAACCAAATACAAACACAAATACACGCAGCTAGTTATATGAGTAATTATGTACTTGTTTACTTGTTAGTTTCAATGAAATCTTCCCGTTCTTACGTTATAGATTAGGTATATTAATTATATGAGCATCGCTGTATTTGTTTTAAACATCCATAATAAAGAAGTTCCTCTTTTATATGATTTTACACTGGCTGGTGTTAATAGGTTACAAGAAAAAAAAATCAATAACAATATAATGGCGAACAAGCAGTTATAATGAACCTAAGTGTTGAGCTGTCAGTGATTTTAATGGCATTTTGATGATTGTGGAGCGCTCGTCAGCGGCTCGTGACTGAGACCACAGGCCTCCTGCACCAACCTCAACAACGGAGAGATAGGAAAGCATTCTGCCGTCGTCGCACTGTATTCTTATACACTGAATTCCGACTATTTTACTTTTGACTTTCAACTCTAGCGTTGACAGCGAGCACGAGCCGAGCCGAGCCGAGCCAGGAGTATGTCGTAGAGGACAAGCAGAGCCACATGCGTTCACTTGTGCAGAGGCTACTACGTCTGTATTAGAGTACCTACGTGCGAGGCGTGGCTGCACGAGGGATGCGGCAGTCCACCGCCCTCTGCGCTCCTCCCTGCGCTTCTCCCTGGTCTCATTATCTGATTTGTCGTTGAGCGTCAGAATGCGAACGTGAGTAACCTTAGACGAAGTCGTTTTTACGAATTTCGTTTTGACAGCCGGAGGTTGGTTTTTACGTGTGACGTCACACGGAGTTATTAAGCACGCAGCACATCGGCGCGGACGGAGGGGGTCGCTCACCGTGCACAGTGAAGAAGAACTCATCGTTGAGATGGTGTCCCGCGACGCAGTCCCGGGCCCGGCCGCACGCGGGCCGCGCTGCCTGCACACCGGGACGCAGCCACCACGCACACAGCGCCATCAGCAGCAGGCGCATCCTCGCACTCAGCACCTACACCACCCACAGCACCCACAGCACTCACAGCAGGCACAGGAACTCGACACTACTATCGATGACGTTATCACTATTGTCGCGATTTTTGCATTATTTTTAAGCAAAAACAAGTTCTAAGAATATTATAAGGAAAACGATTCGCGTGGCGGCACAAGTCTCCGCGCTGAGTCACGGACGTTCACTGGCTCCTCCGCCCTCCTCGAGCCCCCTCCCCCCCGTCCTCCTCGCCACGACCGTTACTTCAACACGCTGCTGAGCGCTGGCAGCATAGATAATACACATACTGTGTACAATCAGCCGTCGCCTGCCGTGGTCACGACTATCTCTAACTCAATGTAATTTTTAAAGTAATGTTTGAACTTGTATCTTTGTCGCATGCGGTCACGGACCCCTAAATACACGGTTTCTACAATGTACACCGTCACTCACAGCTCACCGCTCGTCACTAGCCCGCTTTCCCTCCGTCGGGAAAGCGGGCCGGTGCCGCGGTGACGCGGTCAGCTGGGAAACCACACTGCTTTGTAACGACACTACAAACAACAAACAAGGTCGCTTGCGCAGTCGACGTGCGGCGCGGTACGGCAGCGGCGGGAGGGAATAAACTTTGGAAGTACTCATCAAGTAATGTACGCCTCCGACCGAGCGTCTGTGGACAGAATCAGCTATGGAACCACTCATTAATAAATGTGATAACAAAACAAGCGAGGGGCGGCGGGGCGCGGGCGGAGCGGCGCGTCAGGGGGCGGGGTCACGTTACGTCATCTCATTCGTTAGTATCTGGGTCATAAGTGCGCCCTGGTGCGTGGTGGTGTGGTGGGGTGGTGGTTGCGCAGTGGGAACAAACAATGGGCACGGAGCTGGTCGCGCCGCGCGTCGAGTCGTGCGCGGGCGATGCTCCGGGACATTATCCGCCGGCCAGCGACGATGATTCGATGGTTCTACAGTTTCTTAATCTTTACTACCTTAACACGGCCGTCCGCCTGACGGGTAGTGGATATCGATCTCCGTGACATTTACATTGACATTTCAAGCTGCTGTGAGATTTAATATTACAAAGACCTTGGGTAACAACTGACTCTTAAATATACGCGTGTGACAAACAAAAAAAAACACCGATCAAAAACCGGTTTTATATAATCAATAAAATATAATAAACCACAACAATGGTTCTTATAAGAAATAAATCATTATTTTGTCCGTCTTTCCTCCTTCTATCGGTTTCTTTCATCTATACTATCTATACTTCTATACTTAATAATATTAAGAGGAAAGATTTGCTTGTTTGTTTGTATTGAATAGGCTCCGAAACTTCTGAACCGGTTTGAAAAATTGTTTCACTGTTTGGAAGCTACACTATTCCCGAGTGACATAGGCTATAATCTTTTTTGAAAAAAATTAGGGATCCTTACTAAAACTCCAATAATGTAACCCAAGGTGTAAAAAAATTACCTCAAATATTCTTTACATCGCGCGCTCTGCGAAAACTATTGATGATAGAATAAAATAATGTATTACGACTTTGTAGAACACATTATTATTTAAAAAAAGTGTCGCGACAGCATNCTATTCCCGAGTGACATAGGCTATAATCTTTTTTGAAAAAAATTAGGGATCCTTACTAAAACTCCAATAATGTAACCCAAGGTGTAAAAAAATTACCTCAAATATTCTTTACATCGCGCGCTCTGCGAAAACTATTGATGATAGAATAAAATAATGTATTACGACTTTGTAGAACACATTATTATTTAAAAAAAGTGTCGCGACAGCATGTCTAACTATTATTGTTATGCCGCAATAAGTGTTCTTTCATTTAAAAAAATAAAACAACATCAAATATCGTTGAAATTTTTGTTAAAGCCCCGAGCGGAGCCGGAGCGGTCCGCTAGTTATTAAAGCAAAGAAGTCTATTTGTTGATGTTTCCTTGGAGGAAAAAATGTTCCGACCGATCCGCCACGTTGCGGCGCCGTCGGCTCACTCAGTGTGCCCGACTGCAGCAGCTGGCTGCTTCGGGAGCCGTCTCCTCACAGCCCGGACTCCGGTGGACGTCTCGTAAGCTCGTGAGGATGCTTTGCACCGTCCTGCTGTGAAGCAGTAGTGTGTTCCCGTGTACAAAAGCGGGGCAGCTTTATAAATGATATTTGTGATCGAGTGGCGGCATTCAGTTTTATGGTAACCGCTTCGGACCAGGTGAGCCGTGGGTTCGTTTATTGTATAATAAATATTAATAGTAGAAAGTTGAGTTTACGTTTCCTGTGTAATGATATCACGAAATCGTCCACCCGGACCGCGGGGCGGCTACACTGGACCACTGTGCGTGAACAAAGCGCCTAGCATCGCCAAACGAACAGTCAACAGTCGAAGATTAGACGGTTGCTCTTCAAATATTTTCAGGGATAATGAATAAATAGAAACTGTAACCTCAAATATTTATTTATTTATTTATTTAGACACACCAACAGCAATACACACAAAACATTCAAGCTTAAAATTAACATGTATAAAATTAAGTACTGGTATGTAAGCCAGTTATAGGCATGTACAGCAATCTCTTATAACAAATAAGTAGAAACGGCTGCCCGTTTTTCGGTTTGAAAGGTGGGGCCTTCAAACCGAAAAACGGGCAGCCGTTGTAACTATACTGAAACCTTAGAACTTATATCTCAAGGATGTTGGCGCATTTACATTGTAGATGCCTATGGGCTCCAGTAACCACTTAACACCAGGTGGGCTGATAGCACGTCCACCAACCTAGGCAATAAAAAAAAACATATATAAATATTAGGTCCTTACCTACGTATGAAATTGGCGTTTTGTACGGGAGGAATATAAAGCCAAATTTTTTTTGTAAAATATATTTAATTAATCAAAGTATGCAACGTTTGGTTGTTATCTATGCAATTTTGCCATTTCATAGATAGTTCATTGATCCCTTTACTAAAAAAGACATGGGAGCGAGAATCAATAAACTCTTTGAGGGCGGTTTGAACTGCCGAATCAGAGTTGAATTTTTTTCCTTGCAAGGAGTTGTCGAAATTCCGGAATAAATAGTACTCTGTTGGAGCAAGGTCCGGGGAGTGCGGTGGATATCGCACACATTCCAATTGTAGCTCTTCTCACTTAGTGGATGTTTGTTGTGCAGTGTGTGTGTGTGTGTGGTCTTGCTTTGTCGTGAAGCAGCAGTGGCCTAGAGCGATTGACCAGTCTCTGTTGTTTAGCAGCTAATTCTTCCTTCGTGGTTTGCAGTTGCTGACAATAGATATCTGCCCTAATCGTTTGGCCAGATTTTAGAAAGCTGTAGGAACGACACCGGCGCTAGTCCACCAAACACTCACAAGTAACTTTTCTGAGTCAATTTTCGTTTAGATCAGGATTTGGCTGGGTCCCCAGGGTTCAGCCATTGCGACGAGCGCTTCCGATTATCGTACAGTATCCACTTTTCATCACAAGCATTGATTCGATTTAAAATCCCTTCATTATAGTGTCGGTTAAGCAAAGTAACAAAGCACTTCACATTCACTCAATTCATGAGGTACCCATCGTTCAAGTTTTTTTACTTTCCCGATTTGCTTCAAGTGGATTAATACAGTTTTATCATTACGCCGAAGCCTGCAGCTATGTCTGAAATGTTTTGTGATGGATCCGCTTCCACAATAACCTTTAATTCTTCATTTTCCACTTTGGTTTCCGGCCGCCCACGGGATTGGTTATGAAGGTCAACATTTCAGCAAGCGAACTGGTTCATCACCCGAATGTTTGTCCGACGTGGGAATCCAACAGACGGGGCCGCTAACTACCGCTAAGTCAAACGATCTCCGTGTTTAATATGTACGAGCTAACATTATCAGTGCGTGGCGGTGCTGCGGTAGCATCATACAACACCAGATATTTGACAGATGCCTGAATTTCACTAACGATACGATTTTATATATAAGTTCCGAACCACAGCACTCGGAGCATCCGTCGCGGTGGTGCAGCGAGCAGGGTCGCCCGGCTGGTGGGAGGCGGCAAACCATAAACCTCACATTTGAGTCGTAAATAAACAGAGTAAATGAAAGTATAGGCTAAAGTATCTGAATAAAGCTAATAATGACGTAATTTGTGTACAACAAAGGAAAAACATGTATGAACATATTCATAATTAGCAATTAGTTTTCATTAAAAATTATGATTAATAAAAAACCTAAGAAAAATCATTAGCATCGTATGGGTTTCAGGGCTCAATTAACCAGCGGCGATGTGTCCGCGGTCTCAAGTGGAGGAGGAGTGCTAGATCGAACCCTCACACTCCACTGACTCGTAGTGGAGACGTCGCCGCGTCGTCTCGGAGCTCATTCGATTGAACTCACTAACTGAATACGATGCGAGGTTCAGGGTTGCTTTCAGAGCCTACGAGTATCTTATGTTCTCTACGGTGACAAAAGGCATTCAAGAATTAGAGCCTGTTAGATAGACATTTAACTATATTTACAGGTTCCTACGCATCTGAAAGTAATGTCTTAGATAATTCTACCCGTCTATAAAAGGAGGAGAGTTTTATCTCAGCGCCATAAAAAGTTTCTTAAGCAAGTGTTAGGAGTTTGATTTCAAAATTATGTAGAGCTATAATATGCATCCTACCGCCATTAAAACACGTTATTCACATAGCTCCGTCCAAGGCCTCGCGAGGAGCTGCGGCTGGAGGGGCAGGGCGCGGCCCCGTGGTACCAGCCGTGCCGCGCCTTCCTCGGTGTAAGCTCGGATCTGTTCCGCCTGCGCTGCCGAGATCATGTGATCAAGATGTGAGGACCGAAGAGCACGCCGATGCTCAGTCCACTGTTATCGTCATGATAACCGCCTTATCGTTGCCGCCGCGCTGACTACTTCCCGAATTCTGATCACGCAGGAGCAAGTCACCGTCGCGTCGTCGCCCTAGACATGTCCTTACGGATCCATCCGATCCAATAAGTCTTGCATTAGATACCTTCAGCTCTAACACTAGGAACACTAGGCTGAGGAACCCCGGTAACCGTACTCGACGTGCAACCTAACCCATGCATCAGCCCGCTGAGTTTCTCGCCGGATCTTCTCAGTGGGTCGCGATTGCGATCCAATAGTAGATTCATTCACGAAGCAATTGCTCTTGAGTTGTTAGGTCTCCTTCGGAGGCGCTCGGGCAGCTGTTAGCAAATCCCACCCCTCCTGGCTGAACCTTTGCTCGCCTACCTGTCCTGGTGAAACTGGAAAGGCCTCCGGGCCACTAGTGATCTTCCAATCATAAAAAAAACAAAATACTCCACTTTTATACAAATTGAGACTTGGGCCAACTATTATTAGGCTTTTTTTTATTGCTTAGATGTGTGGACGAGCTCACAGCCCACCTGGTGTTAAATGGTTACTGGAGCCCATAGACATCTACAACGTAAATGCGCCACCCACCTCGAGATATAAGTTCTAAGGTCTCAGTATACTTACAACGCCTACCCCACTCTTCGAACCGAAACGCATTACTGCTTCACGGCGGAAATAGGCAGGGTGGTAGTACCTACCCGTGCGGACTGCCAAGAGGTCCTACCACCAGTGATTACGCAAATATAATTTTGCGGATTTGGTTTTTATTACACGATGTTATTCCTTCACCGTGGAAGTCAATCGTGAACATTTGTTGAGTACGTATTTCATTAGAAAAATTGATACCCGCCTGTGATTCGAACACCGGTGCATCGCTCAACACGAATGCATCAGACGTCTTATCCCTTAGGCCACGACGACTTCAGAGGCTTGACTTGGGCTTGACTATTATAAGGCTGGATAATAATAATGTTACGCGCTGGGGTTCGGGATAAATAAAAAATCTACCGAAGTATAAATTAAAACTATTATTAACACTTAGAACATTTAAAGAGCACTTTAAGATTCTCAATTCGCTTCTTCCGCTTCGCTTCAG